TCTTCCCCCCCCCCCGTGGGTTTTATCTGAATAGCGGTGCATAAATTGCCCCCTTTATATACAGAAGGTTAAAGGGCTTAAGTTTAAGACGGTGAAACAGTTAAGACTGGGAGAGGCGCGGAGGGACCCAGATTCTAGCCGTCTCTCTTAGCCGGAGGAGCTGCTACGAGTGTTGTAACCGTCACGTTTGCAGTGGGAAACAAAGGTCTGGACACGAGCAGCCTCCATGCAGACTGTCTGGATTGCCAAACTGTACAGCGAAGGCGTAAAGGGCAGGTTGATGTGTAAGGTTGAGATGGGATCGACCCACCTCTTTGGACTGTGGCCCGTGTTTATTGCAGCTAAAAATAACAGGAGAAGGTTTGCAGGTCAGGGTTGAATTGTGGGGTCCTCGGTGCTCTTTGAGTTGAGTGGTTTTGTCGGAGACGTTTCATTACCACACTAGGTAACATCTTCAGTGCTAGGAGGAAAGGGGGTATGTGGAGAGGAGGAGGAGGAGGAGGAGGACTGTGGGGTCCTTGATGCTCTCTGAGCTTGGTGATTTCCTTGCAGACGTTTCATGACCCAACTAGGTAACATCTTCAGTACTAGGAGGGAGTGGGGTTTTGGAAGGAGGAGGAGGAGAAGGGTTGTGTCAATGGATAGACTTGAAGTCCCAATAGTCTCTAACTAGAACATGCGGACTTCAACTCCCAGAATTCCATAGCCAGAATGCCTGGACTTCAACTCCCAGAATTCCCTGGCCAAGATATCTGGACTTCAACTCCCAGAATTCCCTGGCCAGAATACCTGGACTTCAACTCCCAGAATTCCCTGGCCAGAATACCTGGACTTCAACTCCCAGAATTCCCTGGCCAGGATACCTGGACTTCAACTCCCAGAATTCCATGGCCAGAATACCTGGACTTCAACTCCCAGAATTCCCTGGCCAGGATACCTGGACTTCAACTCCCAGAATTCCCTGGCCAGAATACCTGGACTTCAACTCCCAGAATTCCCTGGCCAGGATACCTGGACTTCAACTCCCAGAATTCCCTGGCCAGAATGCCTGGACTTCAACTCCCAGAATTCCCTGGCCAGGATACCTGGACTTCAACTCCCAGAATTCCATGGCCAGAATACCTGGAATTCAACTCCCAGAATTCCCTGGCCAGGATGCCTGGACTTCAACTCCCAGAATTCCCTGGCCAGAATACCTGGACTTCACTCCCAGAATTCCCTGGCCAGGATACCTGGACTTCAACTCCCAGAATTCCCTGGCCAGAATGCCTGGACTTCAACTCCCAGAATTCCCTGGCCAGAATGCTGGACTTCAACTCCCAGAATTCCCTGGCCAGGATACCTGGACTTCAACTCCCAGAATTCCCTGGCCAGAATGCCTGGACTTCAACTCCCAGAATTCCCTGGCCAGAATGCCTGGACTTCAACTCCCAGAATTCCCCTGGCCAGAATGCCTGGACTTCAACTCCCAGAATTCCCTGGCCAGGATACCTGGACTTCAACTCCCAGAATTCCCCAACCGGAAAAACCCTGTTCTAGGCAACGGACAGAGAACGTGTTACACTGAACCTTACAACTATACTACCAGACAATTTGGGGCTCCTTGCGTTCAATTCATGCGACAACCTGGCTCCGATGACACACAGTAATATTGGTGAAAACACCACAACTCTAGTTTGTTCTATGAACTCAGCGGATTTCAAGTATTTTTTTGAAGTGATGACAAGAAAGACGCAGAACAAACTGCTTTTAAACTTGTCTAATCAATATTTTTACTGGCCAGGTCAGTTATCTACCTGAGGCTCTCACCTTTCAGATACAGATTAACAGATTAACAGAGTTGGAAGGGACCTTGGAGGTCATCTAGTCCAACCCCCCGCCCAAGCAGGAGACCGTACACCATTTCTGACAGATGGCAGTCCAGTCTCTTCTTGAAAGCCTCCAGGGATGAAGCTCCCACAACTTCTGAAGGCAACTTCTGTTCCGTGGGTTGATTGTTCTCACTGTCAGGAAATTCCTCCTTATTTCCAGGTTGAATCTCTCCTTGTTCAGTTTCCATCCATTATTCCTTGTCTGGCCTTCGGGGGCTTTGGAAAATAGCTTGACCCCCTTCCTCCTCTCTGTAGCAGCCCCTCAAATATTGGAAGATGCTCTCATGTCTCTCCTGGTCCTTCTCTTCACTAGACTAGCCAGGCCCAGTTCCTGCAACCGTTTTTCATATGTTAAGCACATCAGTGTCGATTTGTTATATTAAATAAAATATTCGCAGAAACTAATCAAGGAAAGAACCAACCTAGAACTTGTTCTAGGTGTCAGGAAATTTCTCCTTAGTCCTAGGTTGGTTCGTTCTTTCTTTCTTTCTTTCTTTCTTTCTTTCTTTCTCTTTCTTTCTTTCTTTCTTATTTATTTATTTATTTATTTATTTATTTATTTATTTATTTATTTATTTATTTATTTATTTATTATTTATTTATTTATTTATTTATTTATTTATTTATTTATTATTTATTTATTTATATGCTGCCCTTCTCCAGAGACTCAGGGCGGCTTACAATGCAATATAGGATTTTTAACTATGGGCCAAATTGATTTAATTGGATTTTAATATTGTTTTAAATTTTGTATCTGTGTATTTTATTTGCTGGCTGTTCACCGCCCCGAGTCTCTCGGGAGAGGGGGCGGTATATAAATATAATAAACTAACTAAACTAACTAACTAACAATGCGTTAAGCAATAGCCTTCATACTTTTTGTATATACCTGCTTAGTAGGGCTTTCGGGCCCCCCCTAAGCGGTGTTCTATTTTATACAAAGTCAGCTTATTGCCCCCACAATCCGGGTCCTCATTTTACCAACGTCGGAAGGATGGAAGGCTGAGTCAACCTTTGAGCCTGGTGAGATTTGAACTCGCAGTAATTGCAGGCAACTGGTGCTACTTTAACAGCGCTTTAGTCTGCTGCGCCACCAAGGCTCCTTGGTTAGTTTCCATCCGTTGCTTCTTGTCCTGTCTTCAGGGGCTTTGGAGAATAACAGAACAGAATAACAGAGTCGGAAGGGACCTTGGAGGTCATCTAGTCCAACCCCCTGCCCAAGCAGGAGATCGTACACCATTTCTGACCGATGGCAGTCCAGTCTCTTCTTGAAAGCCTCCAGAGATGAAGCTCCCACAACTTCTGAAGGCAACTTCTGTTCCATGGGTTGATTGTTCTCACTGTCAGGAAATTTCCTCCTTATTCCCAGGTTGAATCTCTCCTTGTTCAGTTTCCATCCGTTGTTCTTTGTTCTTTGTTGACTTTAGGAAGTGGGGGGGGGGAAAACCCACCTCTCAGGCTCATCTTCAGCCCAGCTGATCTATTCCTCCCTTTAGCATCAAGCTACGCGAATTCCTTTGCGGCTTTTATGGCTCCTGTATTAACAGATCGCAGGCACCCATCGCAGGCGGGCATCAGAGGTCAAAATTTAGCATTAATGAATAGCCCAGGGGTCTCGATGCTATCGCACGACGTGAGTCCACTCAGGTAGAACATAGAACAGAGAATCCTAAGATTAGTAGGCACCCTCGAGGTCTTCTAGTCCTGGCTGGGGAATTCTGGGAGTTGAAGTCACAAATCTTGAATCAATACTGCCTGGGAATTCTGGGAGTTGAAGTCCACACAGCTTGAAGCAGGAATTCTGGGAGTTGAAGTCCACGCATCTTGAAGCATGCTAGCCAGGGAATTCTGGGAGTTGAAGTCCACATATCTTAAAGCATGCCTGGGAATTCTGGGAGTTGAAGTCCACACAGCTTGAAGCACAGAATTCTGGGAGTTGAAGTCCACGCATCTTGAAGCATGCTGGCCAGGAATTCTGGGAGTTGAAGTCCACATATCTTAAAGCATGCCTGGGAATTCTGGGAGTTGAAGTCCACACAGCTTGAAGCACAGAATTCTGGGAGTTGAAGTTCATGCATCTTGAAGCATGCTAGCCAGGGAATTCTGGGAGTTGAAGTCCACGTATCTTAAAGCTTGGAATTCTGGGAGTTGAAGTCCACACAGCTTGAAGCACAGAATTCTGGGAGTTGAAGTCCACGCATCTTGAAGCATGCTGGCCAGGGAATTCTGGGAGTTGAAGTCCACATATCTTAAAGCATGCCTGGGAATTCTGGGAGTTGAAGTCCACACAGCTTGAAGCACAGAATTCTGGGAGTTGAAGTTCATGCATCTTGAAGCATGCTAGCCAGGGAATTCTGGGAGTTGAAGTCCACGTATCTTAAAGCATGGGAATTCTGGGAGTTGAAGTCCACGTAGCTTAAAGCATCTGGGAATTCTGGGAGTTGAAGTCCACGCATCCTGAAGCATGCTGCCTGGGAATTCTGGGAGTTGAAGTCCACGTATCTTAAAGCATGCCTGGGAATTCTGGGAGTTGAAGTCCACGCATCCTGAAGCATGCTGCCTGGGAATTCTGGGAGTTGAAGTTCACACAGCTTGAAGCATGGAATTCTGGGAGTTGAAGTCCACGCATCTTGAAGCATACTAGCCAGGGAATTCTGGGAGTTGAAGTCCACGCATCTTGAAGTATGCTGGCCAGGGAATTCTGGGAGTTGAAGTCCACGCATCTTGAAGCCTGGGAATTCTGGGAATTGAAGTCCACACATCATGAAGCATGTTGCCTGGGAATTCTGGGAGTTGAAGTCCACACATCCTGAAGCATGCTGGCTGGGGAATTCTGGAAGTTTTAAAGGTGCCCAAGGCTGAAAAACACTGCATTAGACAGATTCCCCATTGTATACAATTTGTTTCTGCTAATTTCCCTATTCCTCATTTTCTTCTGATTATTGTCCAATTCTTCTTGTTTGGACAACTATCTCCCCAGGTCAAAAATGTTCTTTTGAACTCAAAAACCTATTTTTAATCTTCACCCCCTAGGAAAAAAAAAAGAGGACCAATACAAAACAAGGATGACAGTCACTGGGGTAGGAAAAACATTCTTCTTATTTGATCTGTCACATCGAGATTCTTTTTCTTAGATAACTTTATTAGATCTTTTAAACGAGCGAGATAAAAATTAACAGGAACCGATAACTAAGATAGAAAAGAGGAAAAAAGCGAAGAACGAAAGGTTGCAAAGCTAAAAGTGCAGAAATAAACAGAAAAATATTTTAAAAAATGATTTCCGATCATTTGGAAATGTTGGAAATGTTGGAAATGTGGAAAATGATTTTCCACAACACATGTAAATATTAGCTTCCATTAACCTCTTAATCTAAATTTACAATATAGCTTTCATTTTTTTCTATTCTATCTCGTCAGCGAATGCATGTTTTCTAATTTCATTTTTTCCTCCCGTTTTACAAGGAAAGAGACTTTCAATCAGCATTAAAATGTATCTTTTCTCTAATTCAGGTGTGTTCAACTATGGCCCCTTCAACGACTTGTGGACTACAACTCCCAGAATTCCTGTGCCAGAATTTCCTGGCTGGCTCGGGAATTCTGGGAGTTGAAGTCCACAGGTCGCATTGCCCAAGCGGTCAATTTTGCCATCTCTTGTCAGTTCCATTGATTTCACCATCCCGTCTTCCATCGTAGGCCATGTCAAAACCTTTCACCGTTACGCATATAAAAGTCTCGCCACTGTTATCCTATATATATAAAAAAAAATCCCTGTGAGGTTTTATTTTTTCCAACAATTTGTCCATTGGTCCCAAAAGGAATATCTCTGGTTTCCATGGCAGATTCACTTTGTCACTTGCGGCTTCGATGTTTCCGATTCTTTGTCGCCAAAGTTTGTGGCTTTGGTGTCTCATATGAAAGAGAGATGTGTGTCTTCTGGCACGTTGTACTTCAATTTATGCTCCTCAAACAGCTTGCAGAGAGCCTCCAGGTACCTCTTATGGAGCTCATCGACTTCGTCTTGGCTGGGATTGTGTTTCTTCATCACCGGAAGAGGTTTCCCCACTGGAGGAGTCAAACAGGAGAAAAACATTTTAGTTTAGTTAGTTTAGTTTAGTTTAGTTTAGTTTAGTTTAGTTTAGTTTAGTTTGTTTAGTTTAGTTTAGTTTGCTTTGCTTTGCTTTGCTTTGCTTTGCTTTGCTTTGCTTTGCTTTGGTTTAGTTTTAGTTTAGTTTAGTTTAGTTTAGTTTAGTTTAGTTTAGTTTAGTTTATTATTATATTATATTCTTTTCTTTTCTTTTACTTTGTTTTATTTTACTATTCTGTTCTACTCTATTCTTTCTTTTATTTGATTTAACTTACTTTACTTTATTATTTTCTTCTATTTTATTTTATTGACCTTATTTTATTTTTTCTTTATTGTATTGCCTTTATTTTATTTTATGGTTTCATTATTCCACCCTGTGTTATTTATTTTATTTCCTTTCCTTTCCTTTCTTATTTATTTTATTATTTTATTCTGTATTTTATTTTATTTTACTTTACTATTTTATTTTAGTTTAACTATATTTTATTTTGTATTTTATTTTATTTTATTTTATTTTTTTATTTTTTTTTTAATTTGATTTATATGCCGCCCTTCTCCGAAGACTCAGGGCGGCTTACAATGTGCTCAGCAATAGCCTTCATCCTTTTGTATATTTATACAAAGTCAGCTTATTGCCCCCACAAACTGGGTCCTCATTTTACCCACCTTAGAAAGGATGGAAGGCTGAGTCAACCTTGAGCCTTGGCGAGATTCGAACCCTGCAGTAATTGCAGGCAGCTGGTCTTAATAACCAGCTTAATAACAGGGTGCCTTAAACCCCTGTACTACCAAGGCTTTTAGCTTATTTTATTTTTTATTTTGTTTTATTTATTTCATTTCATTTCATTTCAAATTTCATTTCAAATTAATTTAACTTAACTTAACTTAACTTAACTTAACTTAACTTAACTTAACTTAACTTAACTTAACTTAACTTAACTTAAATTAAATTAAATTAAATTAAATTAAATTAATTTGTGTGCTGCCCATTTCACCAAAGGTGGCTCTAGGCAGCCTACAGACATGGCTTAAAATGCCCTACAGGTAGACCTCGACTTACAACAGATCATTTAGTGACCGTTCAAAGTTACAACAGCACTGTAAAAAGGGATTTATGACCGTTTTTCACACTTAACGACCTCTTCAGCATCCCCACGGTCACGTGATAAAAATTCACATGCTTGGCAACTGATTCATATTTATGACGGTTGCAGTGTCCTGGGGTCACGTGATCCCCTTTTGCGACCTCCTGACAAGCCAAGTCAATGGGGAAGACCGATTCACTTAACAACCATGTGACTAACTTAACAACGGCAGCGATTCCCTTAACAATTCTGTCAAGAAAGTTCGTCAAATGGGGGGGGAGGACAAAACTCACTTAACAACTGTCTCGCTTAGCCACAGAAATATTGGGCTCAATTGTGGCCGTAAATTGAGGACTACCGGCTGTAACATAGTTTTAGCATATCCGGTTGTGTTTCCTTTCTCATCAACCTGGGACAGCTAATAAGAGGCAACATGGACCAGGGGTGTCAAGCTTGATTTCATTGAGGGCCACATCAGGGTTGTGTTTGACCTCGGAGGGACCAGGGGGGCGTGGCCAGGGTGGGAATGGCCAGGGTGGGCGTGGCCAGATTGACGACACTCGTGTTGGGGGTGCCTGTGGAGGCCCGAACGCTCTGCCAGTGAAAATGGGCTCCCGAGTTCCGTTGTTGGCTGCCACGGCCTCCTGCAACCCTCTGCCAGTGAAAACTGAGCTCGGGTAGGCCACACGTGCACCCCGGGCCATGTTTTCGGCCGCAATGGCCTCCTGCAGCCCTCTGCCAGTGAAAATGGAGCTCCGTTTTCGCTAACAGAGGGCTGCAGGAGGCCATTGCGGCCGAAAACGGGGCCTGGGAGGGCTGCAGGAGGCCCTCCCAAGTGCCGTTTTCGCTGCCACAGGCACCGCAAGCTGGTCCTTCCCTGTTTCCAGGGCAGCCCCACGGGCCAGATCTAAGCCCCCCGTGGGCCAGATCAGGCCCGCGGGCCTTGGGTTTCACACCCCTGACATAGAATAATCCTCAAAGAAGGAAGATCGTGTCCAGCAGTCCCTTCCTCGTTCCACCTGTCTCTTCTTTCTGGATGCCACCTAAGAAACGAGGACTTACCCACGGTGTAGATCGGCTTCCGGTATGGGATAAATCCAAAGGTGTATTGGAAGATCCCTCTGGCGTGGAAGAGGGGCAGGGAGACCCCCATGATCTTCTGCAAAAGCTCTTGCGTCCATCTCAGCCACGATCCTTTGGGATTTTCGACCTGGTCGAACAGCTCATTTTCTCCAAAGGAGAAGACGGGAACGAGCGTCGTCCTAGGAAAAGAAAGAGAGAAAAAAAAGAAAGGAAAGATGGAACGAAACAGGTTGGGAGAACAGAGGAAGGCTGGGTAGCTGCAAATATAGTGTCGTTCTCGAGTTACGACCCCAGTTGAGCCCCAGATTTCTGCGGCTGAGCGAGACATTCGTTCAGTGAGTTTTGTCCCATTTTACGACCTTCCTTGCCACCTGGTTAAGCGAATCACTGCAGGTGTTAAATTAGCAACCTGGTTGTTAAGTGAATCTGGCTTCCCCATTGACTTTGCTTGTCAGGATATGTCGCAAATGGGGATCACGTGACTCCAAGGGCACTGCGACCGTCATAACTATGGAGTCAGTGGCCAAGAGTCTGAATTTTGATCATATGACCACATGGCCCAGGCGATCACATGACCGAAGGACACGGCAACCATCCTATGCATGAATCAGTGGCCAAGAATCTCAATTTTGATCAGGTGAACAATGGGGGGAACGCTGTCACGGTCGTAAGTGTGAAAAACGACCCCTTTTTTCAGTGCCGTTGTAACTTGGGACGGTCCCTAAATGAACTGTTGTAAAGCGAGGACTATCTGTGACGGATTCGGGGCAGTGTTTCTTCTTTTTCCAAGCGAAGTCAGCGGGGGAAGCCGGGTTCGCTTAACGACCACGTGATTCTCTTGACAACGTCAGCGATTCACTTAACAACCCAGGCAAAAAGGTCGTAAAATGGGGCACTAAACAACTGTCCTGCTTAGCAAGGGAACTTTGGGGCTCAATTGCGGTCGTAAGTCGAGGACATGACCCCCCAGAAGCTGTTCCTACTTACCCATTCTCTATGGCCAGCCGAACGAAGCCCTTCCGGTTCTCCAACAAGAGGGTGTAGGCTCCAGGGCGAGCATCCAGGGCTTCCTGCGCCCCTCCCACAGCGATGACCACGATATTCCCCCCTTCCTTCTTCCTCAAGACGTAGGAACCGGATTCCCTGTCCGAGGGAATTATACCTGGGGGAAGCAAAGCAGGAAAGAGAAGGAATATGAAAGTCCTGTGCAGAAAAACAAAAAAACAACCCACAAATAGCCTTAACAGCGGATAACAGAATAACAGAGTTGGAAGGGGCCTTGGAGGTCATCTGGAATGGAATAGAATAGAATATAGATAGAGAATGGAATGGAATGGAATAGGATAGGATGGGATGGGATGGAATGGAATGGGATGGAATAGAATAGAATAGAATAGAATAGAATAGAATAGAATAGAATAGAATAGAATAGAATAGAATAGAATATAGATAGAGAATGGAATGGAATGGAATGGAATGGAATAGAATAGAATAGAATAGAATAGAATAGAATAGAATAGAATAGAATAGAATAGAATAGAATAGAATAGAATATAGATAGAGAATGGAATAGAACAGAACAGAACAGACAGAACAGAACAGAACAGAATAGAATAGAATAGAATAGAATAGAATAGAATGAAAGAAATAATAGGAATAGAATAGAATAGAATAGAATAGAATAGAATAGAATAGAATGAAAGAAATAATAGGAATAGAATAGAATAGAATAGAATAGAATATAGATAGAGAATGGAATGCAATAGAATAGAATAGAATAAATAGAATAGAATAGAATAGAATAGAATATAGAATAGGAAATAAGAAATAGGAAATAGGAAATAAGAGAAGAGAAGAGAATATAGAAAACAGGAAATACAAAATAGAAAATAACAGAAAATACAGAAGAGAAGAGAATATAGAATATAGAGAATAGAATGTAGAAAACAGGAAATAGACAATCGAAAATAATAGAAACTAATAGAAAATAGAAAATGAGAAGGGAAGGGAAGGGAAGGGAAGGGAAGAGAAGAGAGAGAAGAGAAGAGAAGAGAAGAGAAGAGAAGAGAAGGGAAGGGAAGGGAAGGGAAGGAAGGGAAGGGAGGGAAGGGAAGGGAAGGGAAGGGAAGGGGAAGGGAAGATGGAAGGGGCCTTGGAGGACTTGGCTTACCTCCACTCATCAAGTAATCCCGGAAAAAGGGGGCTCGAAACCACAAATTCAGCATCATCATGTGAGGCTTCAGTCCTGGGAAGAGTTTGGAAAAGCCGGTGGCTTCGGTGCAGAAATTAATGAAGGCACCAGCCACCATGATGCCATGGGGATGAAAGCCAAAAATGTAGTTCTTGCTTGGATCCAAATCCACCGTCTTCACCAGCTGTAAGAACAAAGACATTTAGGATACTTGTCTAATTATTTTATTTTATTTTTAAATTTTTTATTATATTTTTATTGTTAAAGAATAACAAAAAGGGGAAAAAAATCAATACAAAAAATCAATAGTAAGGAAAGAAAAAAAAATTTTCCCCCAACATGCTATACAAACAGAAAGGAAGTTTTAGGAACTTGAAGTCTTCAATTCTTCCAGAAATTATTTTATTTTATTATTCCATTTCATTTATTTTTATTTCATTTCATTTCATTTATTTTTATTTTATTTTATTATTTTGTTTCTATTTAATTTAAATTTATTTCATTTATTATTTTTATTTCATTTCATTTATTTTATTATTATTATTTTGTTTCTATTTAAATTTTATTTCATTTATCTTTATTTCATTTCATTTTTTAGTTATTAATTTATTTATATCCTGCCTTTATTATTCTTACAAATAAGGTACAAACATATCCAGTCCATCTTTCTTCTCCTTATTTTCCTCACAAATAAGGTGGGTTGGGTTGAGAGAGTTACTGGCCCAAAGTCACCCAGCTGGCTTTCATAGCTAAGGCAGGACTAGAACTCTCAGTCTCCTGGTGATTGGCCCAAAGTCATCCAGCCAAACTTTTGTGCCTAAGGCAGGACTAGAATTCACGATCTCCTGGTGATTGGCCCAAAGTCACCTTGCTAGCTTTCGTACCTAAAGCGGAACTAGAACTCACTGTCTCCTAGTGATTGGCCCAAAGTCACCCAGCCGGCTTTCCTGGCTAAAGCAGGACTTGAACTCCTGATCTCTTGCTTTCCAGCCTGGTACCTTAACCACTAGACCAAAGTGGCTCTCTTATGGTGTCTCAGCATTCTTTTGTAAGAAAGATGGGTGAAAGGATGGGTTATACTCAGTGGTGGATTTCGAAAATTTTTACTACTGGTTCTGTGGGTGTGGGCTTGGTGGGCGTGGCATGGCTTGGTGGGCATAGCAGGGGAAGGATACTGTAAAATCTCCATTCCCTCCCCACTCCTGGGGGAAGGATATTGCAAAATCTCCATTCCCACCCGACTCTGGGACCATCCAGAGGTTGTATTTGCTGGTTCTCCGAACTACTCAAAATTTCCGCTACTGGTTTTCTGAAGTACTCAAAATTTCTGCTACCGGTTCTCCAAATTACTCAAAATTTCCGCTACCAGTTCTCCGAACTACTCAAAATTTCCGCTACCGATTCTCTGAACTGCTCAAAATTTCCGCTACCGGTTCTCTGAACTGTTCAAAATTTCCGCTACCGGTTCTCCAAACTACTCAAAATTTCCACTACCGGTTCTCCGAACTGCTCAAAATTTCCGCTACCGGTTCTCCGAACTACTCAAAATTTCCGCTCCGGTTCTCTGAACTATTTAAAATTTCCGCTACCGGTTCTCTGAACTATTTAAAATTTCCGCTACCGGTTCTCTGAACTATTTAAAAATTTCCGCTACTGGTTCTCCGAACTACTCGAAATTTCCGCTACCGGTTCTCCGAACTACTCAAAATTTCCGCTACCGGTTCTCCAAACTACTCAAAATTTCCGGCTACCGGTTCTCCGAACTACTCAAAATTTCCGCTACCGGTTCTCCAGAACTGATCAGAACCTGCTGAAACCCACCTCTGGTTATACTGGGTTGGATTGGATGACCTCTGAAGTCCCTTCTGACACTTATATTCTCTGATGACCCTTCGCCTGGTTTCTCAAAGCCCAGCTGCCATTTTATTTTTCTGCCACGCTCAATGATCTGAGCACATAATAACAATAACCTAATAGCTATTCTCCTCCTGAATGTCCAGGCTCCGTCTGCTCACTGGGATTAATTTATCACCAGGCGCTTCAGGCACAGACAGGGCCCAGCTGCTGACGAGCCACTTGCAATGGGCCCCTTTCACTCGTCCTTCTGATTAATGAGGCTATTATGGAGCTCACTCGCGGCTCTGAACTGCCCTGGTTGGGTACATCATGTTCCCCCGTTTGTCCTTACAATGTTATTCCTTAAGAAGTGGGTTTATCTCTCTCTCTCTCTCTCTCTCTCATTTTCTCTCTCTCCCCCCCTTCTTTCTCTCATCTCTCTCTCATCTGTTTATGTCTGTAGCTATCTAGTTATCTCTAGTTATCACCTATCATCTCTATTTCTCTATTTCCTTTCATCTGTCTGTCTGTCTATCTCTATTATTCTATCATCTTTCTATCTATATCTATCTTTCATCTTTCTATATCTGCCTGCCTGCCTGCCTCTATCTATCTGTCTGTCTGTCTGTCTGTCTGTCTATCATCTCTATTATTATATTATTTTCTTTCTATATCTATCTTTCATCTATCTATCTATCTATCTATCTATCTATCTATCTATCTATCTATCCACTCCTATCTCCATCCCTCTCTCTCCATCCCTCTGTCTATCTATCTTCTATCTTTATCTTCCTATTTCTTTCTATCTATCTATCTATCTATCTATCTATCTATCTATCCATCCATCCATCCATCCCTATCTCTATCTCTATCTCTCTCCATCCCTATCCCTATCTCTATCTTCTGTCTTCTATCTTTATCTTCCTATCTCTATCTATCTGTTTGTCTATCTATCATCTCTATTATTATATCATTTTCTTTCTATATCTATCTTTCATCTTCCTATCTATCTTTCTATCTATTCACCCCATCTCCATCTCTCTCTCTCTATCCCTATCTCTCTATCTTCTATCTCTATCATCTATCTATCTATCCATCCATCCATCCATCCATCCATCCATCCATCCATCCATATCTATATCCCTATCCCTATCTCTATCTCTCTATCTTCTATCTCTATCTATCTATCTATCTATCTATCTATCTATCTATCTATCTATCT